CCCCAAAACCCCAAAACCCCAAAACCCCAAAACCCCAGGATATTTGGGCTAGATTGAATATAGAATTACTCTTTCAAACCTATAAAATCTTGAAGCCCAAGCATAGCAATATCCTCTTTTCCTACTCTGTTATCATTACTAATCTGTTCCTTAAGCTCTGAAATCTCTTGAACCCACTGAATCACCTCTGATTCTACCATAAGATTCTCCTGAATCCATGGATGATCTAATAATTCACTCGCTTTAGCACGTTCTTGGGGGTCTATCTGGAGTCACTGTTTTAAAAAATCATGCATATTCTCGCTAAAGCCACAGTAATCTGGAAAAGTAGGAGGGTCTGTGTTTAAGACAACCTCTCTCATTTCAATAAATGTCTTACATTGAGGGTATGAGAACTGTCCCATGCCCATCTCATAGATAATTAATCCTAAGCTCCATATATCACTGGGGTAGGAGTAAGACTCACTGTTCATTCTTTCAGGTGACATATAAGCAAGAGTCCCAACAAAACTCTTACAAATATTGAGAGTATTATACAGCTGCTTGCTTATACCAAAATCAGTCAGTTTGAACTCACCGAGACAATTAACGAGAATGTTTTCCGGCTTCATATCTCTATGGATTTGATGTCTTTTCTTATGTAAGAAATTCAGTGCCTTAAGTATTTGGTAGGTTCACCTTCAGATTACATATTCAGGCATCAAAGGTACCTGGTCGGGAAATTGATTCTTAATTGTATCCATGAAACTTCTAAGACTGCCGCAGTTCATATATTCAAGTACAAGCCGGACTCTTCCATCATGATAATATGATCCGTAGAACTGAACAAGATCGTCGCATTGCATTCCATCATTAAGACTGCTCAATTCGTTCAGAAGCTGATGGCGCTTGTCTTTATCATAAACATTCAGACTTTTGATAGCTAGCTGAGTTCCGCTAGGCTCGTGAATAGCCAGATGGACACATCCGCCAGACCCATAGCCTATTTGTTCCTTAAATAGTATTTCTTCAGAGTTGATAGACCCATAATTCTCTCCAGTGACTTCATTTACTATGCCATTGTTCATAATTTTAATACCAGCTCCCTTCAGTTTCACTGCTTTTCCAGTGACTTCGTATGAAGCTGAAGCAGACATGCTCATATCGCTGCTGATACAGTCGAGTTGAAGATTCTTCTTCAAGAAAGACGGCTTCTTGAACCCTCCTTCTTCTGCACTGTCTTCCATATTTTAGATTGCAATTTTTATAAATTCTTGAGGGGTTTTGGGGTTTTGGGGTTTTGGGGTTTTGGGG